GCTTCCGGTGTGTTGTGACCTGTCTGGGACAGTCATTCTACAAACTACCACTTCTCCTTTCTCTTCGTGATTTTTTTCTGTGGTTTTCTTTTTTAATGTAATAACGACGCTTGTGTAAAACGTCGACCAGTCTAAGACGGCCACTTTTTCCCTCGAAAAGGGTGTGTCGAGCCAACCATCTGCAACTGTCAAGTGCACGCTTGATTTAACCCTATCCGTACGTCGTGTTTTGCTATCGAATCCATACGACGTGAGGAACCCTGTGCCACCACTTTCCAAAGAGGAAAGTTAATCGTTAATTCGATCTGTACGCTTTGCATAGTAGTCTGTCAAAGTGATTTTTTGAGAAAGACTGAAAGTTTCAAAGAGATCTTTGTACTAGAAGCATTCTAAAATGTGAAGAATACAACCCCGGGGGTACAAAATGACCCCACGGCGAACGGAGATGGTTAAGCATAAGCAGAGTCCATAGCAGTCTAGTGTCTGCACAGCAACAATAAGTGGGTCCGACAGTCAGAATCCTGAGTCAGAATCCCCGCAAGTTTAATATGACGTGAAAAGAATGTTCGTGGGTAAATGATCACGGAGTAGAATGCAGCATTTTTACAGTTCATAATCTGCTCGTCAACTTGCTACATACAACCTGCTTACTAATACCCCCACATACCTGCCGCTATACTGTCTTCCCACTTAGCTCCTCTCGACACTTGTCTTGGCCCGATAGAATGGACTAACACTAACAATGTCACCTTAGCAGAGACTGTGCCCACCATTTCGAAATTTCAAGGTGACCGTAAAGATGGTTCCAGTGGGGAACGGGATAGAGGGTGCCCACATACCTCGTGACTCATTGGAGCAGAGGAAGATAGGACTAACGCTAACGTGACTTAAACGCAATTCCACATCATCACTCATCACCACCATTATTTCTAAAATCGAAATAGCGCTCATATGACCTTAGCAGTTGCGAGCGCCGTAAAACCTTATACTATACAAAATCGAAATTGCTCTTAGATCAATGACTTACATGTATAATCCTGGAATCTCTATCTGAAGCAGTTACTTGTGACACTAGGTATGCTCGTAATACACTATTGGACACTATCATACTCACAAAGTACTACTAATCAAATGGCGTCAATCTAACATAAATTGGCAAGGAATGAAAAAAAAGAACGCGGCATATTTTTCGCCCTTTTCCGATCATTACTATCAGAAGATCAGGGGTGTGGTTGAAAGACATCAGTAAGAAGGAGCTAAGGAGTAGCAGTAGAAAGGCTGCAGAAAGAGTCAGTCAGGAGCCCAGAGGAGGGGGCAAAGGAGGTTAGGAGGTAGGGGCAGAAAGTGGAGACGAATGCAGACAACAGAACATTGCTAGAGAGCAGAAAAACAGGTGAAAGGAGATAATTTTAGAGAAGAATTTGTTTCCGTCGTTGCCCGATTCGAACCCGGCACCTTTGAATGGGAGGCCAACACCTGAACCTCTAGGCCACGAGAGCCCCCGCGGCATCTTGTCAGCAGCTGTACCGACAGCTAAGAGTTAAAAGAGTCAATACCTCAGGAAGCTAACGCGGGAAACTTCAGGTCAAAGCCACAGGTCAAAGAACACAAAATGGCGTGAGTTCAGCACGTGCACAAGCTGTTAGCAAGACTAGCCGTGCATACAGAGACTCGTTTTTCTGACTACTTGGATACCCTTGAATGAGTACATGTTACTAAATAATTATTGGAATGCCTTTGTTTTACAGCACCTTTAAAAATCAGTTGTGCGTTTCTCTTAGTTTTCTCTCTCTCTCTCTCTCTCTCTCTCTCTCTC